AGCTTCCTATTCGACAATGGGAAGATATGAATGACGAAGCCGAGTAATATACGTATTGTGCAACTTCATATCGTACTCAAACGATATATATTCCTATAGCTCACTATCAGTTCAGTGAACTAGGAAGTCTATCTAAAATGGCACACTTATCAAATTGTTACAAAAATCGTAAATAATGTTTTATCTACGACTCTTTTTATCGAATAGTTGTTATGAAACGTAAGCTCAGTTATACGTAGATCAATGCATGCATGATATTAATCCTCAATCAATGTAAGCATTACTATAATAGATATTTATTAATTTTTTTCGTTAAACGTTGTTTGTTGAAAATATCATGAAAATTCATTTTTAATGGTAGTCGTATTAATTTATCAAAAATGAACAATATATTTTCTTGAAATAAAAGTGTAACTTGATTCATTTCATATTTTAGTAAAAGAGGGTTGACTTAATAAGGTTTACTATTTTGATTGAACATTTCCAATTCTTTATTCATTTAATAATGTACAAAATAAGCATTACGTGACTTTATTTTATTAATTGCCTGTCTGGCTATTGAATATTCGAAGTGAAGTGCGATCACACGTTCAAATTCTTATTCGAGTTTCCATCACGCCTTTTGCTTTTGGATGTCCAAAGCTTCTTTGGGGAAACACGCATTATTCAATTCTAATGATATTCCTTTTCCCTCCGTATCGTACTCAACAATGTGGAACAGACAATACGACGACTCGTAAGCTTTCACATCCCAAAAGAGAATTTCGTAAGGATTGTTTATGTGTACCTCGACAGTTTTACTGCGTTGCCCATCCGCGTTTATTTTCGACAAATAAAATACGTTCGCATTATCCCTGATATTCGCAGCGAGTAATAGCAATTCGTCGGTCGAAATGTAGAAAGTATAGAGATATTGAACATCAAAGTCGAAATTGATGGTAAACTTTTCCTTCAAAATTAGTCGAGAATCGAATTGAAAAGAAGTAATAGTAGTCGAATTGGCCGAATTTTCTTGGGAATCCGCTTCCGGAGCTTTGGTGTAGTAAACGCCAATCCTCTCGTTTGTCGGCGCTATTCTCAACAATTTCCTATGAATAGGATTATTTTTCTCATCGTAAAGCTTCAGATTGCGAAGACTCGTGGAATTGATGATTTTGCCATTTGCTTGAACGGATATCAGATTCTGACCAATGAGATCGTGGAAGGCGTAATCTTCGGACAACGGCAGAGGAGTGAATATATTGAAGCGCAGCGTCGCAAGGCTCAAGAATATAATAAACCACTGTTGCTCCTGCTTGATAGCGTGGCACTTGTCAAGCTTCTTCTTATCGACTTTCGGAAAGAGAATGGGATCGTTGAGACGATTGCCCTCGGCATCGAACGTGATTTTACATCTCGAGCAGAAGATATCGCTGCCGCACTCCTTCTTGCTCGGATAAATCACGTCGAACTTGCCGTTGTGCGGCGCGACCGTCACGTAAGAGTCCAGGCGTCTGATGCGATACTCGCTGCTGAGCTTCACGTCTCTCGACGCGCAATCGCTCATGTCGATTATCCGCAGCTTGATAAATACCTCGGCTTCGAAGCCGCTTTTGGCCGAATCGAGCCACATGATTATTCTCTTGTCCCCCAGCGGCACTATCGTCATGCCGGGCACGATATAGCGGTTCTCCGTTTCCGGCGTGATCTCCGTTACGCACAGCGACATCTCTTTGAATTCGTACTCCTTCAACTTCTCCACGTACACTTTGCAGGACTTTTTGAAGTTCTTGTCGGTGTCGCAGATGCCGTACGAGATCGTTTCTTTCTCCAAGACGCCGCGCTGAGGCAGCACGATCGACGTTTTGTCGTCCAAGATCCATTTTTTGTAAAGATTCGTCGTTTGCACTACCGACGAGTCGCCCGCGTCGATTAGGAGCAGGCCGACGATCAGTGAAACTGCCCCCGAGGAGAACATCTTGGAGACTGCAAGCACTGCTGGCCGATCGGCAGTTTTTATAAGCAGCAGACGACGCTACACTTATCTGCCGCTTGATTGTACTGGGAAACTTGCGAGAGAGAAATAACACATCGTTTATAAACATTTCAACAATGTGTGTCGATTTAATTAGAGGAATCTATAACGCCTACTCGATTGATAGTATTATTCTGGAAACGACAAGGGAAACGAACTAATAAGTTACGAGCAATTCCGTGTAAACAAGATTTTTTCCTTGTTTTCGAGAGATCCAATGTATCTACAGGTTGATTCATGGCTAAGTATTTAATAATGCTATCAAATCAATCTTTAGCAATATCAACGTACTTTCTAATATCAATCATGAAATATCGCTTTATTTATATATTCGACATTTATGATTGGCACTGCCACTCGACTCATCTAAATTATCTATAAAACATTCACGTCGCTAGAGATCTCTCCAGTAAAAGAACTTCGAAAATTAAAAACAGACTGCATCCTAACACGGGCACTGCACCTCTCTCCCTTCATCTAACGAAACTTTGTCCAAAAAGTAATCATTCGTCACCGAAAAATAAAAAAAAAATTCTTTTTAATTAAAACCGTTAGCGAACGACATGCCTCTAACGAGCGTGTAACGATCTCACACGCACGCGTGAAGGAGTTGTTACTTTGGATCGAAGTTATATAACAAGCGATACAAAAGCGTCAGGTTTATTAATTGCTTTCTACCAATTAGAAGATGGACCGTTTGCGCCAGAGCCTCGCATGTGGCGTGCAAGAGGCAACTACGGAGTTTAGCATCAGTGCTAATGTCCGCAATGGGGACGCCAGCTAGGCTCCATATACATACATAGTAAGCACGAGAGTAACTGCAAGCGCTCGCAATCTAGTAACCTTCTGTGTGCGTGTGTGTGTGTGCGCGCGCGTGCGCGTGTGTGTGTGTGTGTATGTGGACATCCGGACTACTTCCTTCGGAGATGAGAACGACGATATTGCGCCGGATGTTTCGAGAGAGGGAGGTCCGCGAGCTTGCCCACTTTGGGGATGCTATATTATAAGGATGATGCTTGTCGAGAGAACTCTAATTTTGCTGTTGGTGTACGCTGTTGAGTTTGGATTTTTGTTGGAGCATGTTTTGAAAGTTTTGGTATTAATTTTGATCGACAGATTATACGTTTGTATAATACAAGTAAATCGATGATCATTCATGCAAAATGAACGAGGTATTTAATACTTTAGAACAAAGTTCAACAATTCTTTAAACGATTTTCCATGTCGTGATATAATGTAATAATTGATGAACATTAATTTATGTGGAACGAATTTTCTATGCAAAAATTAGAAAATTATGAGTTTATTCCTACAAGTAGTCTAGTTTGAGTAGAATTTTACCCTAATTGAAAGAAAAAACTTTCGATGGAAAGACATGGCAGAACTTGATGAAGTAATGAACCACACGCTGCAACGTTCACTCGCGTGATCGGCGAAAAGGAAATGTGATTATTAAGTTTTAAATGGGTTATTTCGAATACGTCAATGCGATCATAAAGTTTGAAATTGCCGCTGGATAGCTCTATTATGCTAACTTACTCGATAATATTATGCACGGTAATTTCACACGTGATCGTAAAACTTGGCATCTCTATGAGGAGTGCGCGAATTGCTTTTCCACTCCCGAGAAAAGATCCGAATAAATTTGCCCCTCGAAACTTCGTCACAAGGCCAACTCGCGCGTGGCCAATAGTTTCAGCATTCAGCGCGCGATAAAACATCGCATCGGAAACACATCAATATTGCGTAATCTCGCCAAGCGCGCCCATAAATAATTCGAACTCGCGCGTACCCGCGACGCACAAAACCGTACATTAGGCATAATAAACCTATAGCGCGTACCTTCCTGCGCACACGGCAAAAGATCACCGGTTATATATTTCTCTTCCTAAATAGAAAACGACGCGAGGAGGACCGAGCAAAATGCAATTTCCGATCTCCCCCTGCGCGCATAAATTTCAAAGTCTTTTGCTCGCCAACGTCTGGCCTGAACTCGGACTCGAATTTACGATGACATTGCCAAGGTGCGAATACACCCGCGTATACACACACGTACGCACTTGTTGTTCGTCGAGGTGGAAGCGTTCACGCGCAATGAAATCCCTCGCACTCTCATTTGGTCTTTTTGTTTTTTGTCGAGCCTGCGTGCACTGGAGGATATTTAAACGCTGCTCGAATCTCTGACGAGTATGAGTGTGTACCACGTGTGATTGGGCCACTTTTCCCTTTTTTCTTTTATTCTTTTTTTTTTCTTTTTCTTTCTTTTTTATTTTGATTCAACAATGCTATTTCTTTCAGGACGAGTTTTTTTTTGTTTTTTTTCTTTGCTGGACGAGTCTTTGATGGAGTTATATTCTTGATTGCGTTATTTAGTTAGCGTCGTCATTACCTTAAGTAATTAAGCACAAGTCTGCGCTATCAAAGCTTTGTATAAAAGTCGTTGTTGATTTTTTGGGAATATCAAGGGGATAATTAATGGAGTGTCTCGACGTAGTTTGTCGACGCGCAAAACATACAGTCGTCGTACATGAAAAGCATGATCAAAGGCCTCCCTCCGACCCCCTTCTGAATATCATATTTGCTTGGAGTTTTCGAGAGAGAGAGAGAGCTAGTTATCAGTGGTAAAAGGATTTTCGACGAGTTCACATTTCAGCGAAAGATAATTTTATTGCGTTTTAACGTATCGTCGTTTGTGCGCGGAAAATTTAATATTTAATTTTAAACATTGTGACCTTGCGGCTTTTGAAAAAAAAAGAAAAAAAAACCAAATGAAGCTTCGAGAAAAATTTACCGCAATTCAAAGCTTGATTATTTTAGTAATTTGCCTAATTAGCGTGATTTAAAGAAAAGCCTTTTACATCGAACGCGTCCACTGACACGACTGTAAAAGTTGTTACAAAGTTTTGGATTTGACGATAGCTAAGAGGGAAAAATTACTTTTGTCAGTGAACACGTTAAAGAATTGGAAAGAAGAAAAGCAGTTTACCCTGAAAAGCCGCCTCGAAGCTTGTTTTATCCTCGTTGGAAGCCAGCTGCTCGTTGTTGTTGACACTGTCATTAGCCCGAGCGCAGTATGCGATTGCCAGGAGGACGAAGAGTAGCCGGTAGAGGCTATAGCGTCCAGCAGCCAATGACGAGGCCATTATCGTCATCATCATCCCCGAAACATGCAGAGTATTAGGGGAGAGAGAGAAAGCGTCGCACTATGCGTGTTACTCCGTCTCACTGACGGCACACCGCAGCAGCGTTACTCTCGACTCTCATGTCAACGCCGCCGCACAAAGAGCTTGCAAGCTCTCAGCACTTATTTCACACTTCCACGCACCTCGAACGAAACTCTGCTCTTCTTCCTACTTCTCTCTGGTTCGATAATACCTACAACAGCAACGCTGATGATGAGCAAAGGAAAAACAAAAGCTTCGCGAACGTGCTGCTTTCTTTGCCTTCTCTGTTTATGACTTTCTTTGTTCGGAGAGAGATACTCGGCACTGCTGTCGGTTATGACCGAGAAACGGTTAGCCCATTGTCTTTTATTTGTTTCGCGCCCGCTCTAGTATATACGTTCGAACGTGTTCTATCACCAAAGTCAGACACAATGAAAAGACCTGATACCATACAGTATATATAATAAATAAAGACAACGATTGATGACAAAGGATACGCCGGAGGTGGATAGTACAGACGGCAGTTGTGAGTTAAACAACTTGGTTGGCTGGTAGAAGCGTCAAATAAAATGGAACGAGTGAATTCAATTTCAGTTTTGTACATTTCTTTGTTTTTTGAAAAAAATAACCGAAACAAAAGTCGAAAAATAATCTCATGGGAATTTAATTTGGTAAGAGCGTCGAAAAGAAAGCAATACGTCAAATCCAGCAGCCATAGATGGTAGAAACTCTTTGACCCTCCGGATCATTAGTTAAAATCAACACACACACATACAGCTGCGGAATTCTTTTTCTTCTCTTGGTTATCGTGCGCCGAGAAAGGAGAGAGGCGAATAAGTTAGTTGGGATATAGCGAAAACGAAAGAGGGAAAACGAGAATTCATTAGTTGAGAGTGTGAGGCGGGTGCGCAAAGGGGAAGGCGGTGGCTGGCCGATCGTGACGAATGGCGATAAGCGCGAGAAACAAGAGCCGCAGGGGCTTTCTGCGGTCTCTTTTCTCCCTCGCGCGTATACACACGGAGAAAGTTCGCGCGGCCGTGTTTACGTTTAATATTCGCGACACGAGCTTTGAAGAGCAAAACGTACCGATGACAATTTGGCGGAGCTCGTGCCTCTGCAGACGTACGTACGAAGGAATCCAATTTCCTTCGGCCTTGTTCTCAAACTTTCGTTCTGAGCTTGCGGTGGTCACACAACGTCTTTCTGGACACGCTATCGGGGATACACACGACGAAATTGTAATGAGATTATCTTGCCCGCCCAGACTACGCGTGGGTTAACTTCTTTTTTCGCAGCCGTGCACATTATTATTCGGAACCTCTTCTTTTTTTGTCGCACGGCGATTGGCTTTGAGCTTTGTCGGTGATAATTAGATTGTTACGCGTTGAGCGAAGAGAAAGTCGGGGCAGGACAGCATGCAATTGCGGAACTTTGAGATTGATGGAAAAATTTATTCAGAGTGAAGTTTCCAACGTTGCTTTTTTATCATTTCATTCGGAAACTTTAAAAAAAAAATAAATAAAAGACGCAGGGTTTCAACGAAATGAAATATTACTCTTGCATGCTTTTCCATTCCCGTCGATTTACTTTTGCAGCCGACCTGTGTGAAAGTTAAGCGGAATATATTATTTGACGGGCGAATTTTCGAGCGAATCGTATAAATGAGCAAAGCGGACATTTTGTTGACTGCAATGGAATACTGTGGAATTCACTCTCGTTCCAATGAGAACCGGTAAATACGAGCTTTCGCCGGAGTCAAAGTTCATGCTTCGATTGTCGGTTATACGCCGGTGAACTCGCGTAAAAATAGCACATTCCTCCGGTAATCGAAGCAAAGAAGCGGCGCAATCTGGTGCAAGGGCAAAACCACGCAGTACCGCCCGACTCTCCCTTTCATTTTTGTTGTTTTTTCGACGCGTTACACGGCTCTGGAAAATCATGGCAGCGATAGCATTGCAGCGCGACGAGAGCGGCAGCAGCAGGGGTTAAAAGCGGGTCGCCGCGGCGCGCCGGCAATTACACTGCTAACGAACGATCTGCGCGCATGAATCCATGATGAGACTGAAACTATACGATCGAAGCCAATTCACTAGTCGACCGCAAATCCCATGTATATACTGTCACGTTCAGTTCTACGTAATGATCACGAAATAAAATAAAATAAAATAAGCAAATGCGTATCCGAAATTTCTCACGCAATTTCGCTTCTGCGACACGCGATACACCATAACGCTCTTATGTTTCGTGCGATCGATTCCGAAAATCGACTGCTTAGGGAACGGGCGAGGAAAAAAAGGGCTACCGGACGACGACGTCGTGAGACACTTGATCCAAATCCCTCAAGAAAGCCGAGACAGGTAATTTAATGAGCAGGCGCAGGTAGGAAACTGTACACCAAAGTTAGCGGAAGTCGCGTGCGCACAGCCTCCGGGGTCTTTCTCTCTCGTTTCGCCTGATGGAATTCCGGACGAGGTTCGCGCTGCTTTTTTTGTCCTTTCTTGCTTGCTCGCTCACTCGTCGTCTCGGTGAAAATGAAAGTTAGGTGAGAAAAACGTACACCGAAAGCTAAGCTCTCGCATTCGTTCCCTTTGTCCTGCCCGTGAATGTTGGATAAGTTTTTCTGACGATTAACCCAATTGCATGTTGGATAAAGCGTCAAACTGAAGATTATTCAGAAATTAGTCGTTTAATAAAACTAAAACACGCGTATGGCTACGGTTGATTGCACTGGGAAGTGATTCGATTACAAAAGAAATAAGGGGGAAAAACCTCGTTTTAACACCCTAACTTTTATATATTCACAATACAGAGCTCGGTAAAAAGAATAAACAACTCGCGGGAAAACACCGGTATATCGCAGAAAATCTGCGAAACAACGCAAAATTATTCTGCTATAGTATATACATATATCGGATATGTAACGCGATAAAGCTGTTATACGCCGCCAACTGTAACGCATTTCACAACCGGTGTACGTATTTTATTGCATTGTATTGAACATCTCCGGGCACGTACTGCTATAAAAGTTAATGCACGGAATGTACACTGCCAAAAAGCAAACATCAAGATAAATGCCAAGACTCGCGCGATATAAATCCGTCACAGCAGTTCATCAAACTTTTTCGCGTGTTTCATCTCGCGACTTGTTTACTTCCGGCGTTCAAGAAGTCAAGAAGAAGAGAAAGAAGGAGAAGAATCTGCGATGCGAACTAGAATGAATACATCAGTGCAAGGAACGATCGAGTCAAACTATTCGCACGACTGAAAACTATCCACGGGAGGGCGAAATTCTTTCGTCTAAGAATGCAACTGGGACGAATCGGCTCCATCAGCGCTGCCGCCGACGCAGCACCGGCGATAAATCCGAGCAGCGTCAGCGGCGTTGCCGCAGCCATGGTTCGTGCTCCGTTAGGAAAAAGCGTAACAATGACAATTACTCGGAAGCAAGTGGTTCTACAGAAGAACTTGAGGGGCTTGCGATCCTCGCGCAAGGACTGATTATTCTTTGAAATTTATATGTCGTTCTTCCAGCTCTCACTCTCCCGTACTCTCTCTCTCTCTCTCTCTCTCTCTCTCTCTCTCTCTCTCTCTCTCTCTCTCTCTCTCTCTCTATCTGCTGCTATTTCAGGCTCGTGATTTAGGCGTGGATAAATTGCCATCAAAAAGCGTGAACGACAGCGTCGGTGTAGAACACGTTCGAAAGCACCATGCACGAAGCTTTCTCGCAAGCTCGATGGAATTTCGATGCCACAACCACACACGCGCGCACACTGTGCATCTCTCCGAACGAAGAAGAAGCAGGCTGAGACGTACCTAATTCACTACGAGACACAACACTGGTGGCCGAAACGAGAAAACCGAAAAGCAGTGCTTTAAAGCGCCGCGACGGTTTTGCAAGAAGGAACGCGGCTGCTGCCTGCTTATATGTGTGTATACGAAGAAGGAAGCGCGGACGCGCAGAGCGACCGGTGTCTGCAATCGAACTGGCTTTGGGGTTGCTCGCGCGACGGTGGCGCCCGCGCAGCAGCTCGTTCACCTGCGCCAACGCAGAAAGCTCTTCCCCCACCCTGGCAGCCAGCGCTCGCGGGGTGAACGTGCGCGCGGCGGCGCCGCCGTTGCTTCTGCCAAATAAGCAGCCAACCCACCCTCCCCTCTAGCCACCTACGGGTGTACGTAGGTGTGTAAACACTAGCATCGTACTGTATAGAACTGCATAGACCTGGCCATTCTCGCTTCCATTTTTCTTTTCGCGATCAGATCGCTACTTCGATCTCGCGAGAGACTGCCCGTGGATTTATCTTCTTCGAGCACGGCCTCGACTCGTCGAAGGGACATCGTTGCTCGACAGCTGCCTTTCATTTGTTCTGCAAGGTTTATTAGAAGGATACTCCGGCTCTCTTTGAGGACCTTTTTTTTTTCTTGCCGGACCGATTAGACATTCCAGCTGAGGAGTTGCTTGACTCTCTTGGACGTAAAAAACTGTATTGCGCGGTGCAGAATGACATTCGCGGATCAAATGGGTGTATGTTTGAAAAAGGTACCTCCTCGTTTAATTTTTTATACAGTCTCGTTCTGCGATTCATTTGCAGATAATTATTATTTATGGCAAATAAAACAAGCGTACCAATGATCCATCTAATACTCTTTTATACAACATTATCGAACTCGTACTTGTGATACGCATTTCACAAAGGATCAATTGGAAACTTGAAAAATTGAAAAATGTATATTTTTTAAATCGAAGTATTTTTAGGGCTCTAGATTTTATTCCGCATACATTGACAGACTAGATTTATATACTGTTGACAAGTCGTTCGTATTCTTATGGAAATAAATGATCACAACAAACTCCTGGTAAAAATATTTATTGCTGATTAGCCAATGTTTGCTGATTTCAATAAAAATAGCGGAATCGAACTGATGATATACATATTGTGCAGCACCACGTGACCTTATTTCAGAGTAATCATTCATCAACGTGTCTTACAATACAAATACATATTTGCAAAAATGAAGCACATCAACTACCGAGAATCATCATCAATTTATAATTTACGTACGATACGCGTTGTTATCGTGAAAGTTACAAGTGAGCTTACACGCACGTGAAGTATACACATAAATTACTCGGTAAGTCTAATACCGCGAACAGCGCCATATAAATTATTTCTTACTTGAACTATACGTACGATGTTGGAGTGCTTATCGCTTAAACATCGGCCTCTCGAGCTTAACATACGTTTCTGCAAGATTCGCTAATGAATTTTCAAGGAATACAGAGAAATAATGTTAATGTTTCGCAATGAAATATTACTTTGTTTCTTGCAAAAAGTACTCTTTATTTTCACAATTTCGTTGAGCTAGTTAAGAAATTTCATTACAGTATTGTTTCAAATACAACATTTCGAACACTTTCATGGGTCGTTGTGATGTAGATTGCTCTCCTAACGTGCTATTATTCGATTATTGCGTTCTGTAATGAAGTAAATGCAGAAAGAGCTTTCGCGGATACAAATACGCAACTGGAACAGTTAGCGAACATTTCGAAAGTGATTAAAATGCAAGTATTGAAAAAGTATTATCTGAAATCACGAACACAGTTACGACAGTAAGACTTACAATTAATGCTGCTGTACATGAAAATATTTTTGAAAAATAGTAGCTACGCAAGATAAACCTACTAATGTAAACATTACCTACTTTAAATTTATTAATATCAGAATTACATCTCAAGTCGAATGAACTTAGGATAAGGAATACAAAAAAGTAAGATTATATTATCATAAATAAATAATTATACGTTATGGATTATCTTAAAAAAAAAAAAAAAAAAAAAAAACATGTTTCAGCATTCCAAGTCAATAGCTTTTTCCCTTCAGGTTAGAATTAATTTGGTACAACGCGGTATCTTTAGCTCTTTCGAGGAAAACGTATACGTCACTCAAAATATTCCGAGCTATCACGTCCGCCACAATTACATTTCGCTGTCTTTGCTCTTATACGGACATTGCAATATAGTCACAGACTCGTCGTAGACGCGTTAAATAAAATCTACTTCATGCATAAAAAGAGAGAAAAAAAAATGACCCGCGAGTATTTCAGCGAACAACGGCGAGCGAGATTGAATGCGTGCACTAAAGATAGCCGTAATCTGACAGCAAAAAGGGTTGTTTTTAAAGCTAGAACCTAGCCTATATATACGTGCACGTATACATATACATATATTACTTTGGCGGCTCTTCCACCCTCTTATGCTGCTTGTTTTGGTTTTGTTTAACGCGCTACTGTCACTCATACCTAGCTTTCTCCGGTTTTTCTCGTCGCCTCTCTCTAAGAAGTAGATCATCGTGTCGCGTTAATAATTTTTTGTCTCCGCTGCTGCGATGGAAATAGTGCTGTCCACCGTGAAACGCGTCAGTTACGCGGCAATTGGTCGTTGCAATATAAACCAGCACGACATCCATCGCGAGGCATCGATAAAAGGAAAAGAAGAGCTATATGGCACACGCTCGCGTAAAAGAATAATGAACGAGACGATATCCACTGGCGGCGAGAGGTTGCGTAAAAGAAAGGGGGGAAAAATGCTCGAACTGGACGGATGGATACTTTCGTAGCCGCTGCTGGTGAGAGGCTCAGTGGCTGTTAAACTCCTCGACGAAGCTCCTCCACGAGTCCTTGATGGGCGCGAACACAGAAATGACGATGAGGCCTGCCGAGAACAGCGCTATCACAACGAAGTAGATGCCGAACGTTAACTTCCTCAGTGCGGTGTGCTGCGAACGAAGAAATACTTGCGTTAAGAGTTGGCCGGAGCAAACGGCCGTGCGGATCGATAGTTTGGCGATAGGGCTGCGGCTGGCTGGGCTTAATTACCGACTGATTTTACTCTCGCTCTGCCCCCCCTCCCTTCCCGTCTTTTTGTGGCCTCGGGCAGAAAACAGAGGCTTAAGAACAGCTCGTTTGCTGCTCTCCAGCAGCTGTTATTCTACTGGCCGTCTTTTTCACGGGGATTTCTCGCAGGCGGCACAGCTCGATCGACCTTCTAATGTATGCAAATGCTCGGTGTAAATCTTGCTCGCGAACCATTGATTTTTTTCTCGAAACGGGCACGGAGAGCTTCACTACTTCTTTGACATTTGTCCGATGTTGGTTCAATAAGTAAATCGCGATCTTAAGTGAAGGAATTGTTGATTGTTTGATAGAGAACATTCGTAGGGTGTATTTCAAGAAGGTGGTCGTATAATGAAACGCGCAAACTTTTCACAGTTCGTTGCTCAAAAAAGGAAAAGGTAAAAGAAAATCCAAATGAAATGTTGAAAAGGAATAATGCAAAGTCTTTTCGCGCTTGCAGTCGTAGATATCCTTTCTCATTACATCAGCGAATTTTTTTCATTTTTTTTCTAACCGAAGTTATACTGAGCTGCAAAGACTCTAAATTTTTCAAGGCAATCTTTTTCACGTTTTAAATGATGAGAGCCAGAGTCACGTCGTCGTTGGTTCTATTTTCCAGGGCTCGAAATTCAACTGGTCTCACGAGTATCATCTCTTCTCTCCCTAACTTTTATCAAAAGTAAAGTTTATGCTATATGCCCGCGCGCCAGGTCTCTTTTTTACCAACTTTTTTCCGTTCCCGCGGCTAAAAAACAAAAAAAAGAAACATTTCTATTTTTCTCGCGCGCATATTTCAAATTTTCCTTTCAACGCCAACGCTTCCATTCATATAGAATGAGTATGCACAAAACACGAATTACTGTTTTAGTTTTGATATTTGTCATTCGCCTTATCAAGTATTCTTTCGTTCGCAATCGAAACGACTACCATTCCATTTTCGCTACTGACACATCTTGAATGTAGCTTTTATCGTTGCCGTAACGGGCCGTTATTGAATGAAAATAAAAACTCAGATTTGGTGCAATATGAAAAATGCGCGGGCAAGTGATGCAAACGGACCCAAGAGAGCCACGCCTACGGCCCTTGGGAACGGACGGCTCGTCGGGAAACGAAAATTCGGCAGTGCGTTCTTTGGCCCGTGCAGCAATGGCGTAGTAAGAAGGATCCCGTGGGAAGCAGCAAGTCGAATCGGCAACGCTTTTGATTGTTTATTCGTTGGTGAAACATGCGGATTGAAATAAACTAAAAATAATTGCGATGCTGGCGTCCATGGCCAGTACCTGCTCGCCGTAACCACGCTGACTAGTTCAACGATCAGACATGGGAGAGGGATTTGATTATCCCATTCTAATTTTTGACAAGTCCACGAGTAGATAAGCAATACATGTTTCGGACCATGTGCGAAAGAGGGGGGGGGGGGGGGGCACGCAGTGACGCATGCGCAGATTTAGGTATATTTCAGTCCACCTTTGTTTGATTTTTTTTCTGTCTGTTACTACTTTGTAAGGCATTAACCATTCAATTTTGGTTAAATTAATTTTAAATTTTTCATGTGTGACAGGATTCCCTGACGGTATAACTATACCAACATTCAATTCATCTCTTAATTTCGTAATAATCAGTTCATATTTCACATTAACATAATTTTTCTATAATTTTCAGCAAATCCTAACAGCATACTAAGAGGGATAATTACATCAAAGTAACTTGCTTCATTTATTCTTTTTATCTGCAGTCCAATCAGCATTCTAAGAACTAGAGCTTTGATCTGAATTGATCGAAAACCAATTTTTCGCGAGATTTATTTTGGATCTATCTATTTCAATGGCATTTATCTCATAGTGTATTTCCTGAAACAAGTTATAGAGGTCACTGTTGACCACTCTAGTATTTTTTACTAGAACAGTGCTATTTTCTTTAGTTAATCCTCCACATATGTGAATGAAGCTACGAGATGAAAGAAGATATAAATCTTAATGTTGAATCGAAATACGAATTTCATCGCTATTATTGAAATGTGACGAATAATAAGGCTGATGTGTACGGACTTCGCAATGAGCGATAGACTCGTGGAAGGCGAAACCTAAATGAATGTTTAGAATTTCGTCCATTTTGTTATTTTAAACAGCACACTAATGTGCACGATATTTTCTTCTACGATTTTTGACGATTTTTAGTCGTAAGCTTTTCAGAAATCCAATGTTCTGACGTGTGAGCACTGATAACTCACTGTCGACTAATCGTTAATTGATATTTTAGGCTCATAACATACCCTCGACCAAGCCTTGTATTGTAAATGATACCTATTACTCTATGGTTTTTATATGTACTTTATCTGTGATGACTTCTCGAAAGTTAACTAGGTTGCAGTCTTGATCAGCTATACGAATTTGTAAATGATCAATGATAGGTAAATAACGTGAGAGGAGACTTCTATGATCTTATCCAGATGGTACTGATGAGTAAATTTTGAGTGTAGTTTATACTTTGCGATCGTTTATGTAAGAACCTGTGACAATATCACACTCTACACGTAAAGCATTGACTTTGAGAATAGTCACGGGTAAGTCAGAATTGTAAGTTTCGTTTGCAGTTTCTCATCATATGAAGTCTAAAATTGATCCAATTGAATTCTCCGGTTCAAAATTTATTTTATGACTACACTGAATAACACTACGTAGAATATTGTTGTTTGGTTTCAGACTGAACAATATACCTTTGAGTGTTAATGCTTCTTTGAGAAAACTTTCAACATCTTCTTAACCTTTCAATTGCTTCTTATTCTCTAATGTAAAATTCATTATTACCAAGGTCAATGTTTGGTATCAGTTCGATTATTCACAAATAATGTGTTAAACACTAAACACACATTGCGACTTCTTTCGTCTTTTTCATTGCTAATTGATTTTTTACTTCAATATTGTACATTTTGCTTCGTAGACCGATGAATTTCTTCATAAATTTTTTATTACAATCGTCTTTTATTATACCAAGAACTTTTTTGTTAGCTAGAGGTATAATTAAATCGATTGTCAATTGGATAGTCAGATGTATCAAATTTATCGATATCTTCTTTCATAATTCCATTCATATCAACGCCTTGAATTTCATATATATAAGACTGTCAGTATCAGTATTAAGTAATTTACATTTTTCACATACCCGCAGTGAAGTTCATAGACACATATTTTTGAAAAGTCAAGCACACAAAGACCTATGTATATTTATTTTCTAATGTTACCAATTGTTCATGATAATCGTATTGCAACTGAATTTTCATAAAAGATAGAGCTACTATGAAAGTTAGGTTGTGCAATCTGCGCTTCTGTACCATTCTGACCAAATCATTAATTAACTAATTTAACGTCTTTTCGTTTTCTTTCGCTCTCCATTGTTTTTCCATAAATAGCGTTAACCACCTTGTTTCCTTTTTTCTATATTCAAATCTATATAAAGTTTTTGATTGAATTTTAGCGCTCTGTGAATTTTTTTAGTTTTAGTCCAAACTTTAAAACCTGTTTTAGCGTTCTATAACAAATAACATATCGTTTATTATCATAAAGAGTTGTCAAAAGTATTTTTTGAGTCGAAACTGACGGTTTACTTTGTTCAGGACGAAAAGGAAGATTTTTATGTTTATCACGTAGCTCTTTAAATACTCTAGATCTACTTCTAATATTTATCCAATTTCACTTTCATTATCAATATTGAAAAAATTGGAATCGTTAGCATTTAAAACCCACTCAAATCTCTCATATAGTAAAGAGTGTGTTATTACCCATCCATATAGATTATCAATACATCAAAATCTTTTGTTTTGATATATTGATAATCATTGTTTTGTTCATTTTGATTGAATTCTGTGCCTATATACTTGTTATTTGCTCTTGAATGTCTATTAGAACAAGGTGTGACAGGATTGTCCTAGTTTATATTAACTGTAAGCCCAACAGTAGTTTTCAATTGATAAATATAAACATTTTTAGTATTAAAGTATTTAATTTGAATATCCCTTTCATTATTTTTTTTAATAAAAAACAGCTAAAAATCCCATATTTACCTTCAACGCATTATGGACAGCTAGAAATTCCGATATTTGATCTAGTAAAAATTTATTATCTGCAACTAAAAATGATTTTTATCCACGTGATGTTGATTTGCTGTGACTATAGTATAATGTAATTTTCAAAAGCAGAATGAGTTGGTCTCCAAACAATTCTATTTTCTTAAATGTTCTCTATATTGTACTGTAATGACTGAACACTGCCACCGATTTTTATAAAATTACTGAATTAACTTTCAAGAGAAATCAAGTAAAAGGCATAAATTTGATATCTTTGTTGTATTACTCTAGATAAATAAGCTTCGAATATTCATTAAGAGCAACTAAAGCTACATTTTTAAGATTTTTCTATCTAATAAAATCATCAATGTTAGCGAGTTCTAATTGATAATAAGATTTCCAAAAGTCTTTCACAGTTTATTTAAAGTATAAAATAGAAGTCATTTTAGTTAAAGTACTCTGTAACATACAGTGAGAAAGAAAGAAAAATCGAACTAAATTTACTAGTTTTCTTTATAAATGAGATACTACAAGGAACGATTTGTCCCTATACTACAGAGCTAACTACTATGAACTGTCTTGGTAGACTGTGCGCGATCAAATCTCTACTAGTACGTTTAATTAAATAATACTTATCTATGTTAATTAAATAATAATTTTATTAAAGGAAAACGCCGACGACGTAGGTCAGAGGAAGGAACCACGTGGGCTAAGAGAGAGAATCCCCTGTCGTAATAGACCCCCCACAGGTGGTCTGAAACATACCTACATCTACGCAAGCGTCAACGCATGGACCCCCGTAGATGGTCCGAAATATATATTGCTTATTTACTTTCGCGATACCTTTGAATATCTTTAAGTACAATTACTGTTCCCTGATTGAAACGTCAGCTTACAAATGTATTTTCATATTAAATTCTGCAGCTGTCACTGTGTCAATAATACGAGCGTTTTACAGTAACAGAAAAACCCTCATATCCTCAACAATAATATCAGAAAGTAAAAAGTAATATTCAATGAAAAGTGGAAATGTATATACTTAGTGTCTCGCAATTAACTTCTCGTCAGTTCTCGGGGCAAATAAGATAGAAAAAAGGAAATGCGCAACCTTGATAATCCCCTCCTTTTGGTGCACTTGATCAAACGGGAACGCGCTGCGCGCAAGGAATTTTAATGAAAAAGCGTCGCCATCGTCGTCCTGGAAAACTTACCGGGGCATCTCGCTTGGCGTCCGGATGCGTCATGGAGTTGCGGGCGTGCACGTCCTTCATGGGAAAGGAATTTACCCGCTGGCTTCCCTGCTTGTCGGAGGCACAGCCGGCGAACTGCAAAAAAATGCAAATCTCCCTTGTGAGATGCGACCCTGTCTTTCCTTGCTTCATGGTAAACTCTGCAGTCATTGCACGAGCCCAAAATTTTTCAGCGCGACCGTAAAAACCTTTTACCATTCACTCGAATGAGACACTGCTCTAATTTATAATGCTATTTTCAGACTCATAACTAACACAAAGATCACTTGAGATGACATTCGAATATTGAAAATTCAATCTTCGAGTAAGAACAGGTCACGAAAAGTACTTATCCGCGAGTTTGAAAAAAAAAAACAAATTGTAAAGATTAATAGTCGCGCATAAAAAAAAGTGTCGACAGTGCAATCAAAACTTGTATTTACAGTGGCAGAAGAAGAAAAAAGCAAGAAAAGTATAAAAGTGGAGCTTTACCGTGAGGAAGAAGTGAGTGAGCACGTGAAAGACGACGTAGGCCACAAGTACCCAGTCGACCCACTCAGGCAGCTTGGCCTTCGCCAGACGTACAGCGAAGAATATGGCGACAACTGAACAAAGAAGGAAAAAAATTCAGCCTCGTTATATAGAAAGGAGTTCACTGTTACAAAATAGCTCTCGCCCGGTTAACCCGATTGACATTGGCATGCACCCGCATCTTGCTAACGTCATTTTCTCTCCTCTCTATTCGTTTCGCGGTTTAGACATTTCAATTTGATAAGGGAACCTGTGGTCTTTTTACTTTTCTGTAAGTTATAAGTTGATGTCGCGGTAGCGGTAAATTTTGATTAAATATTTCTATTATATTGGTGCTGACGTTCGGATTTTTTTTTTTTTTTCATAGGAATAATTTATTAAATTATTCTAACGAAGCAGGTAGTTCTAATCTTTCTTCGAGTAATTCCAGTTATCGTGATGACGTTCTGTTCGTAAATCCGGATTAGACGTTAACTAAGTTCAAAACTGCGACCAATTATCCGATTATCAATTTAGCGAGTTGCCCGCAGAAACTTAGCAATGCTATCATAATATATACCTATATTGTCTACAGTATTAACTGAGATAATTTGATTTTTACCGATTTTATAGTCCCTTTTTATTTAGCAAGGTGAATTTCAGGTTAAGTATAGAATAGAAAAAAAAGCCTTGACGTAATTCCAAGGCTGAGCTTTCTACCAAAAGATTTCTCATTTACTTTTCGGCAAGATTTCCGCGTATAGTTAAAAAACCATTAGGATCGAGCTTTCGGATAAGAAAAAACGTTCTCGAGAAGTAGGCTACGAAGACAAGAGCTCAATTACGGGCCGTACGAGCGCGAACTTACTTCCGCAAATGTGAGCAGCATTGCCGACGAACCAGTGAACCCAATTGAATAGAATTCTTCGTGGCGCACCTGGGTGGGGCCTCATTGCTGCCATAAATGGCTGAATGAAACATAAGATCGTTGTCGCAAGACCAAGCGACGCGTGGTACGTCTCTGTGCTCCAAGATTCCAGTTGAACGAAGATTACTACGAAGGCGGCGATTGTCATGGACCACGTTAGGAACATGAAAAAACGATGCCACTGTGGAAAAATTAAAGTTTCGGATTATTGGATTATTTGCAGATAATGAAAGTAATGGGTTATTACAAAATTGATAGAAATACGATTAAACTATAAAATTATATTGGATTATCATTATGAACAATTTATTTTTTATGCGATGATCGTACCGATAAGGCAGTTGCCTCAGTTGCCTATCTACACGGTTCGACGACACGAGCGAATAAACACGGCGCGAAAGAATCGAATGTTGCGAATGGTGAACACGGTGGACATTAGTCTTCCGTTACACATTGCACCATAGAGGATCTGAGATGTTTATGGTCCTTTCATACGTCGTTTCATTAATACCCTCAGCTGAATAAACTTCAAGGCATTATGAGTCCAGGGATGAGCACAAAATGTGATTCGTGCAAGATAATGGCATTTGTTTGCCGTCACGCTCAACCGTTGGCGAAACTATTTTACGTACAGATATCACCGCGGGGCACCGCATCGTCACTCTTTCGCCTGCAAGAGCGACGACATTAAACGTTGATTAATAAAATGAATATTCAATCTGAATTAATCACTGCATTCATTTTAAATGCTTCGCCATCATGCTCATCGCATACATTGAATCATCTGCTGGCCTCTGTCGGCATATTTAACAGTTCCAAATACATTTGACCTAATTTCAATATGTTAACTGAATACAAATATCATATTATAACATTGCGTAAAAAATTGTTAATGACTGATGCAAATTGTACGTGCAGAAGCGTAAATTATACATCATTCAATTATACAGGCAATATAACAAGAGGCAGGTTTCGCATAGGCATTTCGAAACAATCGATTCACCGTCATTATGATTCAGTATCAATTTTTCATCGCGACTGATGTAATTGTCGATTTAGTTGTGGGCATGCCGTCTCAAGGACGATAAAAAGTAAAGAAACTGCTTGTCGCGTTTAATTAGAAAAACTTACAGCAAACCACTGATCCTTTCCACAAAGTTGCGACGCGACCCAGGTTTGCCTGTAATACCTGGCAAGAAGCATACCAATAGACGCAGTTCCAATCCAAGACGCCAACATGAGAGCTCCGTGAATTCTGATGAGCAAATCACTTGCCGATTTGACATATCCTACATCCGACAGTAGTTTCGGTTCACCCGAGGATACTTTGAGTAAGTTGTGAAAACCAACATTACCCGCGGCTGCAAAGAAATACATCTTATTAACAGAAGAGAAAGGAAATCAGAAAGGAAAGAAAAAGAAACGAGATTGTAGGAAAAGAGAGGATCGCGCAAGATTACAAGTTGCATTTATTTTACGGATGGTTTGACTTTTCACAAACTAGCTTTTAACGGCGAATCAAGGGGATGTGCTATTCTTTTTATCAGTCACTTGGACTTTTTTAATTTAGTTCGATGCCGATGTTGTTCAATCATAATTTTCTTTTTTTAAAAAAAAAATAATGGTGATCTTGTAAAATTATGAAAAAGTTGAGAATATATTTTCAATAGAATTAGTGACATTTGCTTTATGTTAGATAATGTACCTTTTATACTAGTTCCCGAGGCGAGAAGAAGATGGTAGGGTTTTGTGACAAGGTCGAATTGTACACCTTCGATTGTAGTTATCTTGTTGCGGTAAAACTTGCATGATAAAATTCCATCCCGAGAGGAAGTGGATATCTTCTCTATTGCACCGGGTGGCTACAAAACAAATTGTCTCTTTATTGTAAACAATTGCATTTTGGATGTGTACGCATGTATTTTTAACTTATTAAGATAATTTTCTATCTTAAAATATATTTTCTTTAATATTTAAATCCATCCGATTGGTATTTACATCTAGATTTGTATTTATTTTAAAATTTTCATATAATTTATTCGTCTACATGATTATTAGTCAGATATTAATTGTTAAGTGTTATTTTTCTCCACTACGAGTTATTCAAAATAATTCATATACATGACTACCTACATCATCTAGAAAATTCTGAAAGCTTTTCGATAAGTGCAAATTAGTAAGAATGCTTAATCATATGGAATAGAAAATAAAAATGTCATTTTATCAGAAAATATTTAAAAAACAGTATTTTTTTTTACTTATGATAATCAATATGTGAATAAACTCATGATGACCTTCAAAAAAGTGATACAGCTGTTCTATTCTGATACACTTGCTGGTACACCTTGCTACACTGAAAAGGCCAGCAAAATTGAGCTATTTATAATGCACCAGCTTTAAGAAATTAAAAGTACGATGAGAAAACCTAAGTTGTGTAAAAAGTCCGACATAGATTTATTTATCTTTTTTTGTTAAGTGACAATTTTTAATCATTTTTTTTTTCTACCACAACGTTTAATATTATAAGAATTATCATACGACGATATAAGACGGACAAAAGGAGCGAAAGGGAGAAAGAACAGCGAGTGCGGGCGAGATAGTGTGAATAAGATGAATAGTGCAGACCGATTAACGCCTGATGAGTGTTCGACGGCAATCCCTCAGCCTGCGCTGACGCGAAAAGGCAGGTGGGCGGAAAAAGCGCGCTTAGAAAAGCTTCATTGAAAATATTGCTATGGACGATTCATTGTAGATTGCTGGCGTAAGGATACACGTGGGAGAGGATATACATTCTTTTTTTTAGACAATAGGCAGTCACGCGCGAGTCGTTAATTGACTCACATCTGAATCAATCATTTTATTATTTTATATATTTTTCCAAACTTTTTGTCAGCTTGCATGTTAGTGAATTATTTTGTTTTTATAATAAATTTTGTTCCGAATATTAATAATCGAAAATTTTCACGAAAGTGCGTAATAAGTTCATACTATGACATATTTATGTGAGATAAACTACGTGTTAAACAAAATCTACCGTGAATATCATATTTTATTGGAAACATCCAACCATCCCGTACTGGACAAATTATTGGATGTTGAATTTATTGGATTATACACGACATTCATTTTAATGCGTGTTGTACTACCGTTGCAAATAAGTAAGCGACATATGTTATTTATAAAGATTTTAAATAAGTTTGATAACGAATTCCTGATTCTATCATCTGGTATTTCATTTTGCGGTATATTCTGTAACCGTTGAACATCTGTGCCTTCATTTAACGTTTATATTACCGATACATTAATCTACTCCGAGGTGGGGCATGGGATTATAAAATAGAAAAAGGGATTTTGCAAAGAGTTATAATTTATATTATTTCATTTTTCTTGGTATTGAGTCACCGAATAAGATCGTCTGGGATCAGCCGACAGTGTAAATCCAGCGAATTCGGGATTGCTCATTGCTGGAAATATTCCGCGACGTTTCATTTGATTACGAAACTTGACAGAACTTGTTTTAAAGATTAAATTACTCGAAATCAGTTGGCTACTTACCGTATTTATCAGTTTATTACTCCTGCCAGAATTCCAAGACATCTGGATTTCCGCACCATTGTCCCCCTTAATACAATCGACAACACTGTCGTCACCCTAAAAAAACCACGTAAAGATTGTTTGCTTTGTACTACGAAGTGTATAAAAATGTAGCATGGACATTACCATAAACTCATCTTCAGACAGACCAACGGAAACGTATCTAGATTCCTGATCACGGGACTGCACCTCAAAAATGTAACGTTCACCTTCGACGAGCACAGATACGGCGATGCGGCAGTTTTTCTTCTCAAAGCAGTTTTCAGGACTACCGAAACAGTTTTTACTAGATCCACAACCTTCGTAGAACAGATCATCTCCAATATTTGGCTGAAAATAAGAAAAGTTATTACATTTTAAGTTCCTTTCCGTGTATCAAACTTCCTTGTATTGACTGCGCGACAGGACGTTGTGACACACATCTAAAGTTTGCTATTTCTTTGATTATGCCATTTCTGCATCATCTGATTTCGTAAGTTAGTTTTTTTTGTTCGACGAGTTCGTCTACGTTCGGATATAAAAAGATAACTTAATATAAAAATAAAACAAGCATTTCTGTCGTAACGATAACAAAAGCTGAATATCTTCGATTGTTTAAAATCTTTTAACTGTGAACCTACAGCATTCCTGAATAAAGTACTTTCTTCTTGTATATAGATATAGCTATGAGAGAGAAAAAACAAGAACCTTCACGTTAAGTCTAAATCGCTTGGCCAACATTATCCGCATTTACTCGAATAAAAAAGAGGCATCAACCGTCCTACGAGAATAAAAGAATGCAAAGTGTCCTTGTTTTAACACCTTTTCTCACTCGTCTCGGAATTAACTTCCGCTGTCACCTCCGGACAAAGAAACCTGTCTCGCCAAGGCCAAAAAAATGAAAAGATTACTCACTCACACACGCACACACACACACGAGAGTTGATTGGCCAGCCTTCCTTCAACTTTGAAGAAGTTTCAGGTCTGCCGAAAGAAGTGGGGGAGAAGGGATCGTTTTGCGAGATCTAATGCCGAGTAAGAGAGAAGGTAGATGGATAAACACGTTTGAGTTCTAGCGAGCGTAGCACGCAATATTGCAATCTCACATTCCGAAGCCTCCTAAGAGAGAGAGAGAGAGAGAGAGAGAGAGAGAGAGAGAGAGAGAGAGAGAGAGAGAGAGAGTCTCATTATTCGGAATGCGACTGCACTTGGCATTCGTTATCGCGCGTATTTTGATTATTCCTGTCGATCGATTTGTACGTGTACTCTTTTTCGTTCTACGAACAATAGTAAGCGATAAGAGTCATGTTAAAATGTATATAATCGTTGCAAGCATAAAATGACGTTACTCGTTAAGCTTAGAGATCATATTGTCGATAGGCAAATTGAACTGAAGTAGAGAAAATAAGGTGTGCGCGAGTGCCTATATACTATGTACGTGTGTGTGAAAGGAGAATTCTTTACTCGCTTCCTGGGCAGCAGCGATTGGCCCGTTGTTTATCTTACGTAAATTTGTGTCCCTCTCCAAAGATATTTGTCTCGCTCGATCTACTGCGTTTGTAACCCAACACCTTTCGTGCTTAATGACTTGCGATGGACTTTTGCCCGGAAGCGAGCATAATTGACCGTGAAAACACGCTCCTTTTTTTCTGCATTTCGCACACGTTTCTTTGTTGGCTCGTCTTTCTCTCTGCCCGGTCGATCGATTTTTTAAGAGTGCGCCAGCGGAGAGGGAATAAAAAGTTGGAGTACTGCTTAATGAGGAAATTATTGGTGGGCATTGAGAGCTGAGTCTCATCGTCGCGGACTCAATGCTAATTGACCTATTGAAACTTTTATACCGAGGGTGCATCGGATTGTCGCTCTTAATTGATCGGATATTTTTGTTTCTTTTTTTTCCTTTTTTTCATCTCTTGCTGCAGTCAAGCTCTTTTTAATCGGATTCACCGAGGGATTTTCAGTTAATTAATATGTTTATGACTTCGGAGAGTATTTCATTGAAACCATAGTGAGGCCATGAATAAAAACTTTTTTATTAATTTATTCAATTGTTTTTATTATTCCCGCGTAACTGTTATGTTAACTTTTCTGCAAGCTTGCGAAGTTATTCAAACTGCATGTTGATGTGGCATTTGAATTATAAATTTAATGCATTTAACGTCGTTTAGCTTGCATTATTCATTTTATTACTTTTAATAAAGTTATTAATAAAGAAGTCGTATCGCGACGGTTTTTCATTAAAATAACAGCAGCATTAACGGGATGACGCTACAGATGAATTCCTAATGAGCATGAGGATATTAGCAGTGCACTTTCGTTCTAACGTTTCGCAACATCATCGAAGCTTGAAATTTAAAATAAACTCGTCTGGGAATCACGCTCGTATTTCTCCATTGTCGTGTAAAGCTTATCATAAAAAATAAAAACCGTCGTCGTTCCATTTAGCGAAAAAAAAGATACAGACACGCGTAATCATCGTGTTCGCGCAGGCGATTGAAAATTGGCTGCGCATCCATTTCAATTTTAGGAATCGGCGTATGGATTTCGGATCGTAGCTGCGGATATTCCATCGCAATTCGGAGCCGCGCTCGCAGATCGATAATGATTCACCGGCGTATAATTAACAAACTGCCAGCGAATCTCACGCTCGTTTGCATTTCAAAAAGATATGCACGCGGCGGCGGTGCACGAGTCCGGAAAAATTATTTCGCGTGCGTCGTCTGCGAATGTTTATACGTTTCGCAGGCGTAGTCGTTAGGGATTTTTTAAAAGTCTTTTTTACGCTGACTTTCACATTTTTCTTTTTCATTTTTCCTTTTTTCGGAAATGACAGATTAAAGGATCAAAGGTAGAGTTCGCTGCTTTTTCGCAATTTTACGCCTGACATGTAGGTTTTATTTATTTCCATCCGGATATGGCAATATGCCTCATTTGACGTTTAACGTTGAATTCACTGAATTAAAAAATGCATCGTCACGTATAAGCATGGTAACTAATGCTACTAAATAGAATTTTTCAATAAATTGATAATAAAATACTCGTAAAAATCGACCATTTGTTGTGCTGCCAATTCTTCATTGGATATTTTGCTATGCCTATATCTAGTAAGACAATATCTATTTTTTGTTATCAACTATTCGTCATTTTTGTTATTAACTATTCATGATAATCGTACTAAATATTCTTTTAGAAATCACTTGTGAGTAATGCAACAGAAAACAGAGCTGCATAAACGCATCAACCTATGTTATCTCCAATTAATTTATTTCTGAAATAATGTGACTCATCAATATCTTATCAAATTACACCAATAAAATAAAGAAACTAACCGTTCTTCAGGTCATCCCTACTTACAGAAAGTAATTATAATAGTATCATTTTGCAACAGGTATCGAAATACTGCGGAAAATTGAAGTTGCAAAAGCCCGCGTTTCCGTCGTAATAATACAGGGACGCAGATCTCAGGAAACCAATGCAAATTGAATATAGGAGCAGTAAAATAGAAAGGCGGCGTACTCTGGCAACGGTAGTGCGGGGCGGGAAAAGCAATGAAAAATTGTTCTCTTTTTTTTTTGTTTGTTCTTTTTCTTTTTTTTTTTTTTTTTTTAAGATGGCATAAGCTAACGGCCAACTCTGCCAGGATACAGGCGTAAAAATAGCGTTCTCAATTAATTACGCGGTAGTTACGGCGCAGCATAGCACACTAGCGTTTATACTTACCAGGTTCTCGGTGGTCGGGGTGTAGTAGGGTGGAGTGGTTGCGCGCGGGAACGCAGCAATGCTTGGGGGCGTCGAGTGGATGTCGATTGAGCGCTTCACTACCGAGATACGGGGCGACTCAACGCCAACCCAGAACACGTCCCACGTCTTGCAGATTGTTGAGCTAAGTGCGTTTAGGGTACGAATTAATGGCATATTCGTTGCATATGCTTGACGTTTCCTATTTACTAACGCCGTAATCGGAGCTTTGATAAATTGTCATTGTAAAACGTGTTTGAACGTGTTTCGCCGAAGCTATCTCGTAGTTTTGAATTAAGATATAACTGCGTATTTTTTACTTTTTGTATTTTCGAAAGTGCGTTCGAGTGTTTCGAATAATTGGCGAAGGCAAAAGCATAAAAGACGTTATTGAGCTTTGAAATCCAAAACGCCACGATAATTTGCAGAGCGATTAGCGAGAACATTGATTGCGATGCAAGCATGCAGTCAATATTTAAATGCAAAGGAGTGCGATACCGATTTCTCATCGCATTCAATGGGCTGATCGACGAAGCAGCCAATGGTGAAAGTAAAAACGCGTACGATCTTCTTAGCGTTTCTTTTGCGACGAGGTCTCGATTGCGTGCATCGTAAAAACGAAAATAAGAAAGAGGCATGTGCGGGCGAGAGTGCCAAAAGAGAAAACACTTTTAAATGAACAACGTGCGATTGTCCGTCGCGCACGCAGCTTTCCGGTCGAACGCCCTTGCGCATTTAGAATCGCAAGAAAGCTATGATAAAATAACGTTGTAGCTTTTTAATTGCGCGATTCTGGTCTGCAAGTGATTTTTTCCATTTATTTTAATGGGAAAGAGAAGGAACATTACTTGAATACAATTGTGCCCTCGTAATCCGCTGGTGCCTCCCAGTCGAGCTCGAGATTGTGGATCTTTTGTGGTTGTACGTGGGTCACGCCATTCTGGAATGTTAAATTAAAGAGGAGGGTTTTTCAGTCCTCTGATTTCTCATTCATCTTGCGAAAGACCGCTCGGCGCCTTTCTTTCTATTTTAACTAGAAGTCTTACTATTAACTTGAAAGTGTACCGAGTAAATTTATTTTTCATTATAAGATTAGTAAAGACGATTTATTTCATGTTTAACAAAACTGAGAAAATAAATGAAACGTACCTTCTTGTTAGGAGTACATTCGACATGCCTAGCCGATCCCTCGGGCAAATTATTAAATTCGCCAATGACCTCGCCAGTGTTGACGTCCTTAGCCAGAATGAGGAAACCTTCGTAACCATCGCCTTGCGGACTACCGAGAATCAATCGTATCCTACCCTGCCCTTTAGACGGTAAAAGTTGATAAGGCGACGGGGAGTTCTGCGGTTCCTTGCCGTGCTGCGGCATCAAGTCTGCACAGGTGCTCGTTGGTGCACCGTCACTTCTTCCTTGAGCCCGCGGCGTCACCAGTAGCAGGCAAAAGCCCAACCACACTGCGAGGCTTAGCCTCATTGTCCTCCTGTCTGCAACGAAATCATGATAAAGGTCACGGTGAGTCGTATTTATACGTCTGGTCAGACATTCCAAGGAAAACCCAATGCGACTTTGAGTGCGCTGACGATGGACAATGGTTTTGGGTTTTGGGTTTTATATTTTAAATTTACGGTAGACGACGAGTAGTCGATGAACGAGGAAAGTGATCAAGTATCGTCGTTATGTGAGTCACAGCCCACTTTTCAATTTCCGTAAATCCATGACCTTCATTTTTCTTAATGCCTTGCCATGCTTATCGGACAAATCTTTTTACCGGTAATAAAGTCTTGTTCGAGATTCATCGTATAAACTATATAAAAAATGTTCAGGACCACACGAAGATCATCCGAGCTAAAGATTTTTCCACATCTGTGGGTAGTGGCTTAGTAAAAGAAAAAAAACAAGAGCGCTAGATTATGCAAAAGAAGTTTACGCGCTAAAAAAGGCGTAAACAAGCTCTGGCCTTCGCCAGTGTGTTTTTTATACGTACTCGTAAATGAGTAAATATAACACCTGGCGCGCTTCTATAGGTATATCTAACGCGTATGCACCGTAATTTACTTCTCCACGCCGCTTTCATGGAAATACTCTGAAGAAATGTAGACTTGGCACTTCAAGTCCACTTTAACTTTCCAAAACGGCGAATATCTTTTTTTCTTTTTACAGAATTGCCTTTGGCTTTTCGTAAATTTTATAGGCTTAAGTAAATTCTACGCAAACAAAAATTCAAAAAAAAAAACGTAAAAGTCAAGCCAAAATCGGTATTTCAATTTTAAGGATGAATTCGCAAGAACATCATTCGCGTTTAATTGAAAAAAGGCGCTGCGGGCAAGAAATTGCTAAATTTTCCAGGCGCGAAGAAAAAAAGCCAAAGTGAAGTATGAAAAGCACGAGGAGCGATTCACAAGCACGGGGAAGAGCAGTTCGTTGCGCATGCTGCTACGTATACACATTACACACCCCTTGCACCGCGACTACTCTTCGTTTCACTTTATTTTCTTTTTTTTATCTCTTCCTTCTCTTTTTCGAGAATTTACTTAGACGCGTTAATTATAGACGACGCGTTCTTGCCACGCATAATTACGCCGTTACTCGCGCGCGCAACTACCACGCGTGAAAAAGGATGACAAGAAAAATGGGAGCCTGCCTCGGTGTCTCTTATTTGTGCGCACAAGACGCGAAAATGCGCACATTAATTTCCGCTTAGGAAGTGTTTTTTCGTGCTGATACACAGTCCGATACAACCACTGATCGGGTCGTTCGTAACTTTTTAAAATCAAGTTTGAAAAATAATCTGCCGTCCAATTTGACGAGTCAAATAATTTCTTAATTCAGGACGAAAAAGTTGCGCACAAATAAATGCGTGTATAATGGCTAATCAAAATCGAGTAGCCACAAGATGAAGCAACGGCTATTTTTATCGAGTTACATTGAAAACTACCTTTTTTTCATTTTTTCACATCTCGCACTCTAGTCAATTAGTTGTCGCTTCAATTCAACAGAGCTAGATAATGTGTAGTAAAAAAAGGAGTCTGTAGCAAAGTTAAAGAATGATGAAGATGAACAAAATTAATTGTATTCTCACCAACAAGCATTTCAATAAATATGTTCGCGGTGTACCCGAGAAAGGTGCTATATTATAAATCAACAAATGGGAACACCTTAACGGAAACCACAAAAAAAAAAACAAAAAAAAAACGAGGCAATCTCTTTATAAATATCCCGACGTGATATTTCAGTCACGTAATGGTTTTCTGTTATATACCTCGTTCGTGCCGTAACTGCATAATTTTTGTTTCGTTGCCTGGGCTACATTAAAAAACTTGCGCGCCAAGTGCTGAATGGCGAAGCGTATACACCACGCGGAATTACAGTTTTGAAAAGTTTAAGTTCCTGTGTTTGGATAGTCTCCTGCCTCTCCGCAGTATAGACGCGTCGCAAAGTGCATTGGTACAATTGTGGAACATCGCGTAACGTATTGTCTTTGTCGAATTACGATAATCGATACACGTTGCTCTCTTCTTTTGCTTTGCTCTTGTACACTTTGAATTATTCATTTGCGCGTTCGAAGCCACCATCAACTCGAGCTCGTATTTGTTCATCGCGAAACGAATAACCTGCGAGCTTATATATCCGATCATCCGCGGCCACGCAGGCAAGTCAGAGCCCAGGTTATAAACAATGTCGGTCAAGCACCAATGTAGGTTCAATCGGTACATATAACAACTAACCCCCCCCCCCCATTAGGCATCACAATGAGCGTCATTCAAAGCGAATCTGTGCCACGATCGAGGCAACATCCATGCAACTGCGCTGCGCGGTGTTTGCTCGGTGTATCGTGACCCTTAGCATGTCAACGATCCTCAATAAATCATAACCCATCGTTGTCGTACTGTAGAAAAAGCTTTGGGTTATCCCTCGACCTTGCAGCGCGCGACGACGTCGTCTCGCGACTTTACGTGACCGACATAACCGAATCTATGCGTTTTCTCTTGCTGCAAGTATTAGCGATCGCAACAAAAGTAAGGGGGCACCTTGCTCAACAGTCCCGTTTAGTTTACATGAATTAATGGTTGACTCAAAGTAAACATTAGACAGCTAACAAGTTTTGCCACTATCTGTTACCATTGGGCGCTGCAGTCAAGTTTGCGATTGCGAATTGGCTATTATAGGGTACTTTGTTTCGCGCTGATCTCGATTCTATATCTTCGGCCGTGGACGCAGCAGCTTTTTCACTGGATGGGTTAATTGCTGGCTCATAATTTGCCAACGACGTCAATTATGTTTTGTCGGCTTATACAGATATCAATTATGACCTCTCTCGAGGGCCGTGTTATAAAACCGGTTTTGTTTGTGCCCGATCACGCCTGACTTTGACTGAGCGTATCCGCTAAACGCACATACTGTCCAGCTCAATTACTAAGTATCCGCGTAAATTCACGTCAATTTACTCTTTTCTCAGTCTAGATCACTTCTGCGTTATCCTCTCTCTCTCTCTCTTTTTTTTCGCGGACTGTACTTGTTAACGAGCGACGAGGACATATCGGGATGATGCTTGAATTCGTATCTGGGCAATTGCTGCATTCTCAAACGTTGAGTAAACAGAAGCTAGACTCGATCATAAATTCGTGTCAACGTAACCAATAAATAAACACGACGATTACAGAAAATACTATGAGTCGTGCGGGTGCGATGAAATTGTGCTTACTCACTTAAAAGGATATGACATCGCATACGCGATGACGATAAACAATACAAAAAAAACGTACACATACAGCAGATATACATCAGAGGAAAGATTCTCAAACGAGCTCTTCAATAAATGTATATCGTGAATCACTTGTCTGGATCGAAGGTCTGATACGATTACGCGCGCACATGTCTGTTCATGTATATATGTTACAGGTGACTCGGCTGTCGGCGCGGAGGTGATTGCATGGCAACTTTTATTTTCTTTATTCACACGGTGCATCGAATTACGTTCTACTCCGAATTCGATTACATTTTTGCTTGGTCGTTAAACTCGATTATGATTTTTCGATGTAAGATTGGCGCTCGTTGTATTATCTCTCGCAATGACCGTGCGTTTATACTCGTACACGAAATCTACGATGACTCGAAACGAATAAAAAGTTGATAAAATCGATCGGCAAACGTTAGTCATATTTCCGAGCACATGCATGATATTGCAACGAGCGTGATGACCTTTGATAATCTTAACGCAATGTAACAAGCGTCTACGACATTGATTAGCTAATAAGTAAGCGGCGCACGCTTTCGAATATTCAGTACCTGAGAATCGCATGGGGCGAATGTCCAATTCCATTTTTACCTTACACTCAAATACCTCATATCATTCAACTCAATCGAAAATAAAAAGGCAAACTATTAATCAGGTCTTGTTCACGTACGACACTGCATAAACGAGGTCTTGATAGTTAGCACCTAGAATCAAATTTTTTTTTGTTGCAATGATAGATAAACTAATTATGACATTAGATAGTTCACTGAATAATCAACAACTTTTGGTATTTCCATTCGCTAGTTCGTCTATAACTAATATTTTTAAAATAATAAAATAAGTTTTGAATGCTAGGCTCTGGTAGCCAAAAGCTTGAACCGAGCTAAAAAATGATAAAAAATGCTTATGAAAATATGATTGATAGGCCATCGTTAGTTAATTTCATGAACTAAGGATACCCAACATATAATCGCCAGTAAATTCATTATTTTATTGATAAAAAATAAAAGAAAAGCCATTTTACCACACACTGCGTGCCAAGAGGTGACCGTGCATCGTACTGGCAAGGAACACAGAACCTGGACAGCCTGAGAGCAGCCGATTCGATATTACTTGCTGAGGCCGCACGGTCATTTATTTGCGTAGGTGCATGGGAAAAATATCTCCCACGGGAGCAAAGATGGCAAACATACACTACGTAATTTTGCCGACCGAGCGCAGCGAGTGCGTCCTTTGCCTACTTTGCTCCCTGAATGGTTATGTAATATTAACTTATACTTTAAGTTTTACGACCACTAGCCGAAGCAACCTGCGTATGCGGATTTGGTGTAAGCGACTATAGTCGAGTTGGGTCAAGTCAAGTTGGGCCTCGATAAAATAACCGCGGCCCAGCTTGGCCAGCAGCAGTGGCTCTTGCAGTGTACCTAATTCGCATGCGCGCATCGCTTGGACTATGGCTATAAGCCACAAGTAAAGATCAAAATGGTTTTTTTATTTGTTAAATAATGGATCCGGCGATTTTATTCTGAGTTTATTAACAATTTTGTCAAAAGCATTTTTTATAATAATTTTAGCTCGACTCAAACTTGTGTGCTAGTCTTGCACCTAAAACTTATTCTATTATTTTTAAAATATTAGTCGTGGACGAACTAAGGAATGATGATAAGAAAAGTTGTTGCTTTTATTTGATGTACTATACAATGATATAATTAGTTTATCGATTATTGCAAAGAAACTTGGGTGTTAACT